AATTATTTGTGTGCCTAATACGAGTATAAAAAAAATTGCCTACCATGTAAAAAAAAAATGTAAGAAAATCTCATTTTAGACGATATGCGATGGGTGTTGATTGTGTTTTCCGTGGTACCGCGTTATATAATTAATTAAAAATAAAACTAAAAACAAAAATTAAAGTGCTAAATTTTTTATTTTATGAAAAAATTTAAAAATTTAAAAAAAATTTAAAAAAAAAATAAAAGTAATGGTAAAATTTTTTCTACTGAAACAACAAAAAATATATACTTACATATACATATATATATATAGTAAATATTTTTGTTTTAATTTGAACCCATACACCCAAACTTCGTGAAACAAAAAATGTTTTTAATGATTACACACATTTTTTATATTTTCAACTACAATTTGCGGTTAGTAAATTTTTAAGGTTTTTTTTTTTTATGAAAAGAGAGGAAGGGTTAAAAATCATATTTGACATTCGCGTTTAGAACCTCAACTACTTACTTGTTTTCTTTATACTTCATTTATACGTAACTTATTACAAAATCTATATGTATTATATTTTACAAGATTTTTCCAGTTCATGAACAGGTATACATATACATAATCTAATAAATAACAAAAACAAAAAAATGAAAATAGCAAAAGAGAATACTGGGTAGAAACATTACTCAATTGATTATACATACTGTAAAACAAAAACAAAAAATGAAAAGCGAAAAGCGAAAGAGAATAAAAAAAGAGTAGTAATATTTTTTTTGTTTTTTTGCTTTACTACCATAAACAAAAATAAAAAGCAAAAGGAAGCGAAATATTTTAAATGAGTTAAGTAAGAGTAAAATAATTTTTTGTTGTTGTATTTAACATGGAATGGAATTAAAAAAAATAAAACTAAAAATTGTGAGAGATATAAGAACACGAATAACTAAGGCAATTATTCTTCGTGTCCTTGCGAAATTTTAATTGAGTAAGTAGCCAAGCCAGGTCTGTATAAAGAAAAGAGGCATTGATTTTTTATTAATTCACATTCACTTTGGTTTTAAAGTTTAGCGTGAAAGGTACTATTTCCTTTCCTTTTAATTTTGTTCGACATCAGTTCCCCATCCGTCTTGCATATGCCATGACTATAAATAAGTCCCAAGGGCAAACTTTTGAAAAGGTTGGCCTCTATCTCCCCCAGCCGTGCTTTTCGCATGGGCAATTATACACAGTATGTTCAAGAGCCATAGACTCCAATTCTTTAAAAATTCAAGTCAAAGATACGGTTCGTCAGGGAAAAATCGATGATGGAAATATTTTAACAGATAACGTTGTTTATAAGGAAATTTTTCGTTCTTAATTGTTAACTAATTCTTAAATTGAATTTTAATCATATCTATGTAATTAACAGTGACACATATTACATCTTAAAATTTATTAAATTAAAAATATTTCCATTACTTTTATTTATCATTAGTATTCAAACCAATATGATATTTATGCATATACAAGTATATACCTGCATATGTATGCCATAATATGTACAAATTTTTCTAAACTTATTTTAAAATTGATTGCCACAATCCTGTTTTTACAACAGATAATGCTGCTTATAAGCAAACCACAGGGGCCCCTAGTTGACTATTTATTCTTTCTTAAAATGTAAAAAAAAACAAAAGAGCCCGGGGAGAACAATTGTAAAGTATTTATCCCTTTCGATTTTACCTATTGTATTTTTGGCTTGTCTTATTTTGGATTTTTCAATCTCGTTTCCAGGATACCTTTTTTCTAAATATGATCTTCGGTAATAGTAACAAAGTGAGATTTTGTGATGATTCGCTTGTCCTTTTCTTTTCCACAATCTAAATTCTTTGAAGAAGCTACCTAACTCTGTAAAAAACTGATAAAAAAAGAAAAATAAGTTATTGTTATTGTTTTTTTTATGCCCTGGATTTTTGTTTATTTATTTATATATTTATTTATTTAATGTTATTGTTAATATGTATTTCAACTGAAATTTAAGAAAATCGCAAGTTTAATTTAGTTATTGGCATGCATACGAAAGTGTAAGTAATTTAAATATTGTAAATTTTTTATATGCACGTAAAGTTTTAAATATATAGTCGTAAATCATATTCTAATTTCGTCCTGGACCAAAAAAAAATGTTTCCTTTTGTAATGTTTTAAATATATTTTAATATTTATTAATTGTTATATTAGTATATATAGGTATATATATATTTATAAAAAATAAAAACAAAATTCATAAAACGAGAACGAATATATTCTTCTCTTTGAACATGCTTTTTTGGCAAATCATAAAATATAGCGATTGCGCTTTAAATACACAATATGTTACCCATATATACACATATCATGCATCTTAATATATATAAAGGGTGGGCCAACCAAAAACTGAAAATTGCAGTAGACGATAACACAATATATAACTCTTAATACATAATTCACCTTATGAGTTATAATTTCTGAATTATGCATATAAATAAAGCAATAAAATATTATTGCATTTTTGAAATCACAAATTATTTTTATTATAATATTAATTGGATAATAGCATTCAATTCCTAAATGCTCGTTTAATTATTCAACTTTATATATAGTAACTAAATAAAGTATAACAGAAAATAAAAAATTAATATTATTCATGGTAGTGTATAACACAAAAAGTCCACTCTAAATATACCCACAATTTTCCACACAAATATACAATTTTCTGTATAAATATCCACGCATGTATATGTACGTACATTTTGAGTGATATATAGAAAACTTTTGTAACTTGAATACTTTCTTAATTTTATTCTAGTCCACTGTATACACACATATACAGAGTTTCTCGTATCAAAGTGGACTGCTATATAACCATTATATAGGACCTCAAGATTAGACAAAATTTTTGGTATGAGATTTATAAAATTTGATTTGATAATATTTTGATAGATTAAGATTTGCAGTACTTTCTTTTTTTTTAATAATTATTAAACCAGAACAGATATATCTACATATCAAATTAAAAGTCAGTAAACAAGGCTGTCTACTGTGCCTAAATTGGATAAAGCTGCAATTTTACGTCACCTAGAAAATTAACGCTTTTAAAAATGAATCAAGTTTTTCGAACTTTATAGTCACGTAATTCTGAAATCTGAACAGATTATAACTAATGTAGATTTTCAAGAGAAAATCCTTATTTTGAAGTTTCCAAATCATATTTAACAATGCGCCGGAGTTATACTTAAAATTTCAAAAAGTAAAAAATATCTGTCGAAATTGATTTTAACGAGCCTCTTGAGCTGTGAACATCATCTCCATACAAAAGTTTTGCGAAAAAGTACAAAAGAACATTTTTATAATTCTTCATATACCATTTATTAGAGGGTCGAAAATGGGTAAAACTTTTGTTCCGGATTAGGTGCCAAATGTCAAGAGTTTTCAGGTTACAGGGATTTTAACGAATTTTGACAAAAAATGGCTCTACTTCCTAATGTTTTAAGTTTTTTTACTTATAACATCCATTTTGAAAAATATAGGGGCTTCATAAGTAACTAGTGCGAAAGGTAGTAAAGAGTTAAAAGTTAACAGGTTACTTGATTTTGTATTCTATGTACTTTCGGAATACCAAACATTCGAACTTTAGAAAAAATCTTTGAAATTTTGAATTTTTTTTTTTAAAGAATTTTGTCCAACTGCTTAAGCTTTAATTTAAGCTTTAAAAACCTTTTCTATATGCCAAGATTTTAAAATTCCTAATAAAATGTAAAAAATCAAAAAAATTTCACTACTTGGATTTTTATTGATTTTAAGTGCTATATTTTGAAAATCATGTTAGTTTTAAGCCCCTTACTAGGTCTCTCAAGAACTATTTGTTTAAAGCCCTACCTTTTTCGGAACGGAAGATATAAGTAAAAAAATCCTGAACAAGTAGAAATTTCGTGAAAATTTGTTAAATTTGTCTGTAGCTCCCAAATGATTTCGATTTGACACTATAATGACATATGGCTCCTAACTTCTTGCTGCATCACCCTGTATATTATAGAAGTATATATAATTTGCATACAAAAAATACAGAAATATTTGTTAATATATGTATATGAATATAATTAGGGTTACTAAAGGTTGAAAATGTAACGTAATTAAGGTTGCTTAAGGTTGAAAGAACTTGAATACATATACAATTTTTTTGAAATAATAAGACAAAAAAGGATTAAAACTGTTACACTACATTGTATATATAAATTCAAAATTATAGCAATACTCTTTTGCTATACAACTAAGCAATCACAATTTATAAGCTAAATTGCATATCAACACCCATTCTTAAAATATATTGCCGTTAAAGGTATACTCGCAATTTAAACTGTTATATGTATATATATATATAAATATACCAGGATTTAAAGATAAATAATCAAATTGATTTGACATTTATAATAACTTTTATGGTATCACCACATGCACATATACTTTAGAAATAACCAATCTATATGTTGCTGAATTGTAATAATAAAATACAAGAAAATTATTAAATTTGATTATTATTTATTAATAATTAAAATTGAATTGAACAGAATTCTATTATACATATATTATCCATAATAAATTACACCCAACTTCAAAATTATATAGGAGTATGTTAGTTCAGCTAAAGAGTATAACTCTTAAGTCGAATAACATGTTTTAAAAATAATATAGAATCTATATAATTTAATTAAAAATGTGTATTTGACTCTTAAGTTTTTCGATATTACCTTTATACATACACACATACATACAAATATATTGTTTATACACATCCAAGAATCCACACACACATATATACATAAAAATGTCAATACATACACATATAAATATGTAAAAAAAAGTTAGGAAAATAAATAAATGGAAAATTTTTTTTCTGTTGTCTAAGGATATACAAAAATTTCTGTTGTAAGTTTTTTTTTAATCTTTTTTTTTATTGTAGATTTTTTTTTATGAAACGTAGATACACATATGTTCAAATTACACATAAAAAATTCAACAAATTTTTTGGAAAAATTTAAAAAAAAAAACTTTAAAATTTTAAAAAGTGAGGTGAGGAAAAAAGTGATTTAAGTAGAATGAATTTTTAGTTGGGCGCTTGTTGGAATTCGGAGCGAGTACCAAATATTTCAAAACTCAATCAAAATAGTGAAAGTGAAGAAGAGAAAAATAAAGAAAAATGCATGTAAAATAGTAAGAAAAATTATAATCATTTTCCTTTTTTATTATTTTATAAATGTTAAATTTTCAACGAGAAAATCTCAAGAGTCCAACTTTATTCACAAATACCTCAAAATTACGGATAATTGTATAAAATAAGAAAAATTCATTTTAGTTTTTTTCAAAAATCACAATTTTTAATTTCATTGAGTGAAATATTAAGAATGGAAAATAATTTGAATTAATTTAATTATACAACAAGAAGGAAAGCAAAGAGAGAAAAAAATAGGAAAAATGCTTATATTTTAAAAATATTGCAGAAGTATAATATGTGTGTCTGCATGTGTTTATGTGTATATACTTAGAGAATTCATTTCAAATGTTTGTTTTCGCTTAATCTTAATAGAAAAATCATATTAATTTCTAAAATAATAAAACTAAATCGAAGCAATTACTAACTGGTAGACTGAATTGTGCACTGCAATTTTGAAATCAGGGTTTATCTTGAATTTTATTTATCCACCACCCACCGATCTCGTTATTAAATCAAAAAAATGCAGTTTCTTAGTTTCCTCAAAATTTACAAAATAAAATTATGTTGAAAGTTCGTCTTTGAATTTCCCATATATGTGCATTATATTACAGTATAATATGCGGATTTTGAAATATGTGTGGTGTTTCAGTTTAGAAATAATATCGGTGAATTCATCTTAGTTATATGTATATATATATATATATATATATTTTAATAGAACTTAAAGATGGTATTATTGTTGTATATATAAAGGGATCTCAAAAGAAATTTGTAAGAAAAAAGATTATAGCTGATTTCAAAATTGCATTAATATACTACATTATATACTATGCATATGTGCACAGTTTAACTTATTAAAAGTCATATTTGCTAAATTATGTAGCTTTTAAATATATATAATGTACAATAATACAACAGAAATTTTTTTTATAATCACGAATTATTTGCATATATTTCTTTGTTTATTTTTCAGCTATTAAAACTAATTAATTAAATTTAAAGAAAGGGGAGGCGGTCTTAAAGACAACAATATGATAAAATATTTATTTAAAATTTATTTAATAAAATTAGTTTTAAAAAATATTCTATTAAGAATATTTTAAATTTAATTTAAATTCTAATTGAAAATTATAAGAAAGGAATAACATATATATATATATATATATATATATATATATATATATATATATATATATATATATATTTATATATATATAGAGAGAGAGAGAGAGAGAGAAGTAAATAATGGGACGAGATCATGAATTCTTGGAAGCAGCACGTAATGGTAATATTGCTGTTGTTGAAAAATTCCTTAACCAAAAATCAAAAAAAAATGGACCTTTAGCAAGGTAATTATAATTTTTATAATAGAACAAACATATATATATATGAATTTAATTGTTCATTACTTTAAAATTACATTAATATTGTATTAATAAATAATTCAGCAATTATGATTCATTCAGTTTTGAATAGTCGGAGGAATATAAATATTTTCTAATCAAGAATTATATTTATTCTAAAATAATAATACATTTTTGTTCTTAACGACTTACTTTTTAAAAAAAAAAAGTTTACGTCGTGGACCTGGTGTTAATGTACAAGATTCTAATGGTTATTCAGCGTTACATCATGCAGCTTTAAATGGACACATGTAAGTTTATTTAAATGTATATATGTATGTAATTCAATTTACTATACTGAATTTAATTGCATTTAAAATGTGAGTTATCGTTACAGTGGAATTGCCAAGCAATACTAAATATATATCACGAAATTCACTTAATAAATGTTAATTTAAAAAATATTTGAGTTTATAAAAACAATATTGCATACCTTTTTAATTTTATTTTTTCTTACTACAGTGATATAGTAAAATTATTATTAGCGCATGATGCATCAGCTAATTTACCAGATTCTCGTGGCTCATCACCATTACATTTAGCAGGATGGGCTGGTCATCAAGAAATCGTTAAAATATTCTTAACACATCCATATAATCCTGCAAATGTTAATTTACAGGTTAAAAATATATTATAACTTAATTTAATTCAATATTTTTCATTATATTATTATTTTTTTTTGTTTTATCCAGACAATAGAAAAAGAAACGCCATTACATTGTGCTGCACAATATGGTCATACTGGTGCATTAACAACATTATTAGCTCATGGTGGGGATCCAAATATGACAAATTGCCGTAATGAAACACCATTAGATTTAGCAGCACAATATGGACGTTTACAAGCTGTTCAAATGTTAATTCGTGCTCATCCTGAATTATTACTACCATATAAAAATTCATTTCATTCATTAGAAAACAACGAAAATAGTAGCTTTTGTATAAATAAAATACAAATTGGTGGTGGTGTTAGTGGTAATATATGTAATAGTAACAATGGCTCTATAATTTCTAACGGAACTAGTAATGTTAATGGTGGTGGTAATAATATTTGCAGCGGAGGTGGTTTCGGTGGTGGTTTTAGTGGAAATAGCCGTTGTAATTCAAGATCATCACAAGCATCGTCTTCCTTTAATACAGATACATCATCAGGAAATTATATTAAGAATTCAAATATTGTAACAAATACATCATTACATCTTCATACACATACACCATTACATTTGGCAAGCCGAAACGGTCATAAAAATGTAGTTGAAGTTTTATTAGCAGCCGGTATTGATGTTAATATTTTGACACCATCTGGTACAGCATTACATGAGGCTGCATTATGTGGTAAAGATAATGTTGTTAGAACTTTATTAGATTCTGGAGCTGATTTAGATGCAACTGATAGTGAAGGACGTACACCATTAGATATACTAGAAGAATTTCCACCACATGTTACACGTAGTATTGTATCAGTGATTAATAGTAAGTTATTTTTTACAAGCTTTCCATATAAGCTGCGTTTTGGTTTGTCACAGTATATAGTTTTTTTGTATTTGTTTTGCAGACTATAAAAAGTCGCTAACATATGACAGTGAATCTGATGATGTACATAGATGTAATCAAAAATCAAGTAATTATAGTAATAATATGAGTTATATGACAACCCCAATGTCTTTAGGTAGCTCATGTGAAACAAATCGTATTTCACCAATACAAAATTATTCAAGTTCTCATTAGTAAGTCTCATTTCATTTCTATTTATAAATATATAAAATATTTTATTAAAATTTTTAGTCTAGATATAAAGAGAATATTGTGAATGTTTTTAGAATATTTTTGAATAAATATACATACACGTAAGTACACCATTTTCAGTTATGAATTTAATATTTTTTTATAGTGATATAACCACAAGTCCATCATCTTCAATGGGAAGTTTAGGACCACCATCACCATCACCTAGATTTCGTACATCAAATGACGACATACCACCGCAATTATATAATACAAAAAGACAACCAACACGTTTGAGTGGTTATCATCATACTATTGGTACAACAATACCAATAACAACAACATCACCATCATCATCAACAACAAATTTAATATGTAAACAACAATCAAGAAAATCTGCAGCACCAAAGAAACCCCCAAGACGAAATTTATCAATGTCACCAACACGTTTATTACCATCATCCTTAAATAACACATCAAATTATATAACAGTATCAATTAATGATAATTCATCAGATAGTAATCATACATTATCATCATCATCATCAAAATTATTACCGTCTAATAGTAATAATTACAATAATTATACATCATTTAAAGGTAAAAAATCATTTCTATCAGTACGATATAATATTTTTTCATTATCATCAACAGCAAAGGGAGCAACATCACCAGCAACAACAATATCAACAATAAAAACAACAACAACAATGCCATTATCAACAAGTACAACAATGATAGCCTCAATAAATGGAAAAGATAAATTTCGATCATATAGTGCTGATCAATGTATTAATAATATGTCATCATTATCGAGTCGTTCCAATAATAGTAGAATATTTGAATTAAATAATTTATGTCAAACATCATCATCAACAAATTCAATGAGATTTTTTAATTCGAGGGCAACACTTAAATCATATAATCCAAATCGTAAATTAAAAAGAAATCGTGATAGTTTTGAACGTTTTAATATAGAGTGAGTAAAATACTCATTGCTATTAATAATATTTAATTTAAACTAATTATTTTTTTTTATTCAATCTTGTAGTTTTAATAAAGACAAAGCATATAAAGAAGGTTTAAAGAATTGCCCTCAAAGTCCCACAAATTATCAGCAACCGCCAACACCGGAACATCCTCCTCCTACACCATCACAAGCAGAAAGATTTATATATGAAAGAATACGACCTTTAAATCAAGTATATTACGAAAAAACATTTTTTTTACAAATTCAAAATATCGAGGCCCTTTAGATATCCATTTCATTAATTTTTTTATATACTTTTTTAGGAATATAAAAGAAGATCTGCCCTTCTTAATTCTTTAACTATAGAATCGGGTACTTCAACATCTCAAGACGGCTTATGTTCTTCATTTAGGGCATCATCGGGATCAATTAGTTCGAGTGTTTCAATATCAGACCGTTCAATGTCAACGGATTGTGTTGAAGAATATGTTGAAGATATTCCTTTTGCTGGTAAAAAATATTAATTAATTTTTTGTTTTACACTATTCAACGTGTTAAAACCCTTACACTTCATATTTTCCTTAATAAGAAATAGAGTCTTCTCTCATTTTTCATATCTCTTTTTGAGTTTTATATGGGAAATAAATGAAGTTTAAATGTTATAACATGGATGAAAAATGTAAAAGAGTGAAATATTCATAAATATTGTATGATAATTAATTTGTGTTATTTATTTCTTTTCAATTAATATATATATATAGGATTATTTAAAGGATCAATTATGAATTTGGATAATTCATATTTATATTATTCAAACTCAAATAATCAAATTGAAAATAATTATATAACTGATCAATATTTAACAAATAGATGTGAACTACAATTAACATTACCATCATTATTAACAAAACATGGTCAAAGATCTCACAGTTTTTCAGGAGTGTTAGATCAAAATATAAGTGATAAAGATGATGATGATGATTATGATATTAATAATGAAAATCAATTAATGTATTCATATTATGGTAATAATATTTATCATAATGATAATATTATAAATGATTATGATATTATAGATAATAATTGTCATATTAATATAGATAATAATGATATTAATTATGATTATGATGATGATAATATTAATAAAATAGATAATAATGATAAAAATTATTATCATATTAATAAAAATCAAAAAAAGAATAAAAGAACAGTAGAAATTTCATTAAATAATGATGAAAATAACACTAATTTAAATGATAACAGTAAAGATGAAGAATGGTCTAAAATAGCTGAAATAATGGAATCATTTGGTAGAGATAATAATAGTATAAATAACACAACAACAGATTTATTATCAATTAATAATAAAAGAAGCCCTAATAAGAATTTACCGAATTTTAATAATGAAAATGATAATAGCGAAATTGATAAAATATTAAATATAAATTTAATAAAAATGACAGCTACTACTAGTTCTAATACTAATTCTACTATTAATACTACTACTACTACTACTAATGCAATGATAACTACTACAGGTTGTGAGAATAATCAATTACATAATATATTAGCAAATTGGAATTTATTACATTTAGCAAATAAATTTATTGAAAATGGTTATGATAATATGAAATTTATGGTAAATTTATTTTATAATTATTTTATTTTTTTCAAATTTTTTTTCATATTTATATACTTTTTTAGAATGGTTTGATTGATGAAAATGATTTATTGTTAATGAATATACCAGTGAGTGAATATGAAACAATCATGGATATGATAAAAACTTTACCAAAAATTGAACCATTGCCAATTTTATATTCAAATAATAATAATAATTCAATATTAACGGTGGATCAATGGTTAGAAAGTATTGATTTAAGTCATTATAAAGAAGATTTCAGGTAAAAAATTTATTTATATAATAAAAAGGTATATTTTAAATTTGTGTAGGAAACACTTATTACGAAAACATATTTTTTTTTAATTATATAGAAAGCATTTATATACAAATATGGAAATGGTATGTCAAGTATGGGAAGTTGAATTGCAAACTGTTATTGAAATAAAAAAATTAGGACATAGAAAAAGAATATTATATTCAGTATCAAGTAATAGAAAACCGCCACCACCAAAAAAGGCTACAACAACAATAAATGAAATAAGTTGTGATTTATATAGTATTAATGCTCAAAATAATATAAATATGAATATAAAATTAGATGATAATGATAAAATTCAACAAAAACATGATATAACGAAATCATTGGATATTGCAACAACAACAACATCAACAACAACAACGGCGTCAACAATTACAACATCAGTAGCAACACCAATATTAGCATCATTAACAAAAGTAGCGACTACATTAGCAGCAACAACAACACATTCTACCTCAAATAAATCTAATGTTAAAATAACAAATACTACTAATACTAATAAAAACACAATTGTAACATCAACTGCCGGTAATCCTCCTGCTTTAGTACATCGTCACGGAAATAGAAAAAATCGGTATGTTTAATTTTCCATACTATTTATAGCATATACATAGAGCCCTAAAAATGAGATTGTTTAAGAATGACTGTGCAGTTAACATATATAATATTAACCTCACTTTCACTTTCTTTTATTATATATATATATATATATATATATAGACCAGCTCCAAAGCCACCAATTAAACCAACATCACCATTAGAAATTCGTGCTCCATCTGAGCTTTTATTAGGTCTTCCGAGTAATTTGAAAACACAATGGCGTCATAATGCATCTGCTTTAGTCTGTAACACAGTAAAATATGATGTTTATGTTAGTATACTTATTACATTATTACGATTTTTAGAAAAAAATAATATACTTTTAATTTTAGTATTTAGGATCAACAATTGTTAAAGAATTACGTGGCACAGAATCAACAAGAAAAAGCATACAAAAATTGAAACGCGATAATCGAATTTTATCTACTACCACGAATCTTCGACAAGTACAATTACAGCAGCAACAACAGCAAAAATCGCAACAAGAACAACAACTGGAGCAATTAGAAGAACAAAAAAAACAAAATAAGCAACAACAGGAAGAACAAGAGGAACAACGACCCAAACAAGAACACCGAAATAATGCAGTAACAAAAACGATACCAACAACAAATACAACATCAGAAACAATACACGAAAATGAAATAAACACATTGACAACATCAACAATTAATGAAGAAAATCGTTCAACTAAAAGACGCCCAATTAGATTACGAATATCAAATCGTGGCGTTGAATTTATTGATATTGACACAGAGGTATATTTATACGTCATACACCAAACGTGACTTGAAAAAAATGCAGTAATACTGTATTTCTATACAATTGAAAGCTGAATTGTGTATTAATACCGTATAACTGTAATCTTCAATAGAAAAGAAAATTAAACACTAATTTTTATTTTTCTCTTTTTTTACTATTACCATATTTTATATTCATATACAGAAACTAATATGTGTCCATGAAATTAGAAATATTAATTGTGCATGCCAAGATGCTGACGATTTAAGTCATTTTGCTTATATAACAAAAGATTCAGACAACCAAACATATTATTGTCATGTATTTAATGTCAGTAGTATGGTATGTAAAATAGTTTTATAATTATAATATGGTTTTAAAATAGTTTCTTTTTTTTTTTAAACTTTTAAAATTAATTCGCTGCTATTTAAATTTTAAAGGATCTTGCAACTGAAATTATTTTGACACTAGGTCAAGCATTTGAAGTTGCATATCAATTAGCATTGCAAGGTACAATCAGTTCACTAAATTTGCAAACATCAAAATCTCACCAACAGCAACAAAAACAGCAGCAAAAACCGCAACAACAACAACAGCAAGATAAATGTAGCGGAAATCAAGAGAAACTTAAAGATCAATGAAATAAAGAAACTTAAATTAAATGATTTGAAATTAAATAATTTATTCCTTTAATTAAATTAAATTGAATTTATTAAAACAAAAAAAAAGTTAATAAATTTATATACATACTTTTATATTGTTTATTTCGAAAACATTATCATGTATTTTCCAAAATTATTAAAATTATTTTTGTTTTAAAATATCATTTTGTAAAGTTTCCAATTCAAAGTTATGTAATTAAAAATATCAGTATATTTACTATTAATGTTAGTTATAACAAATTACGATATAGGATTACGATTAGCTTTAAAATTGCAAGAATATACTGATTATGAGTAGTGAATTCCAAATTATGTATATAAAAATTCAGTATTAACGCAATTAAGTCGTCGGCCTTGTAATCACTATATTGCATTAATTACATAACTTTCAATCGAAAATACACTATTGACATCATTTTTACATTTTATATAATCTCGTATGTATGATATAATTTTATATAACAGTTAAATTATTTTATTATATATCTTATTATATAAAACTGTGAAATATTTTTATTTGTTCCCATTTTACTTTTTAAATTTGAAAATATTGTTGTTTCTATATATTAAAAAATAATAATTTTTCTTTTTTTTGCACATTTAAAATTGTTGTTTTATGAAAATTTATATTTTTGTTGTTATACTTTGTTATAATGTGTAATAAGCCTTAACTGATATAAAATACATAAAATCTTTTTATAAAAATTTTTTAAGAGTGGTGTTGTAATTTAAAGCGGAGCTTACTATTTCAAAAGGTACTAAAATTTACTGTTGCAAACAACCCTGTTTTTTTTGCCATGTTATAATTGAGAACGCAAAAAAAAATACCTGAACCTTATATATATTCATCCAATGTTCTAGAAAAAATTTTAAATAATGGTTAACTGATAATTCTATCTCCGCAATTGCAGAAATTTTAAAATTATTATCAATTAAACTTTATTTAAGAATTTGCCCATTCAATTAATATTGAATAACTGTAATTTTGAAAGCCGGAATGAATATCATTTTAATTTTAATAAAAATATTCTAGAAATTTGGATGAAAATTTTGTAATTTTAAAATATGAACGTCTTGTAAAAAATATTTTTTTATTTTTTTAATGTTATGAAAATATTGTTATTTTTAAAATATTTAAATATCACAATATTATAAAAAAATTTTGTACCTTTCTAAAAGGGTTAGTGTCAATGTCATTGCAGAAACAAAAAGAAAAATTATTATACAATGCTGTTTAATAAAAAAAAAAAGATAACAAAATGTAAAAAAATAAATCGAATATAATTTTACTTATGGTTGATTATTTATACATACAATATAATGTGTAATATACACTGATATACAGGGTGATTTGCATAAGGTGACAAATAATTCAAATAATTTCAGGTATGATTTCTTTGATCAATTTCCAGCAAAAAAATATATGGGTGGTTGAGAAGGGGATGATAGAACTATGGCTCAAATTTAATTTATTGTAAAAACGAAAATAAAGAGCAATCAATCTCCTGTGAAATCAGCTGCCGATGGTAACTCTATGTTGCTTGATTCCGAAGTTATAAGTATTTTTACATATGCAGGAAAAATCTGGTACTTTTTTTTCAACAACCTATAGTATATCTGAATCATTCTGCCACCAATACAATTTTTGCTGGAAATTGATCAAAGATACGTCCCTAAAATTATTTTCCACCTTATGTGAAACACCCTGTAAACATATATTATAGATATATATATACATATATATATTATAGATATACATATATTACTGTTTATTAAAGAAAAAAAAAAAGAACAAATGTTGCTCTCAATAATGTTATATAATTAAAGATTTTCAGCTCTTTTATGAAATATTTTTATCCCTTACTTGAAAATAATAGTATAATTACCGTATAACATAGATACGATTCAAATATATATGTTCTGCAATTTCTGCAATTATACAACTCATATATAAAGTGATGAATTGTGTATAAAATACCGTATATTTTGCTTGTTATTTTAAAATCAGCGAACATTTTAATTACATTATATCGAAATATGTATAATTATTAATAATTTCTGATATGCACTGATTTCAAACGAATAGAACCATAAAGTATAATGAATTTAATATGATGAATTTCTTAAACTCGAAAATCGAAAGTAATTTTTATATAATCTTTGTAATACATATTTTAAATTGCATTCAATTTAGTTTAATATTTAATAAATTAATTTCCTTTGACTAGAAAATAGAAGTAACAAGGTACTAATATGGTATACGCAGCAACTAAAACTCAAAAGCTGACTCTTGTGTATTTATAATACCTTTTACTACGGCAATTTTGAACTCAGGAATAGTTTTATATATATTTTTTTTACAACAAAAAATTTACATATTTTTAAATAAATAGAATATATAAAATAAATGTATACAATATATTTATTTATAAATATATATATATATATGTATGTAATATTTAAAATAAAAAGAAAAAACAAAACTCTCTATACTGCCATCTTTAAATAAAATTACAAATAAATTTAAAGAAAAAAAATTTAATATAAAATGAAATAAATAAAAAACACAAAATCATTTTTTATCATAATTAATAAAATTACAATTAAATTTAAAAATTTTGCAGTAAAATAATTCAAAAATTGAAAACATTTTGCTTTAGCCATTAAAAAAATTCATTTTATATTTATCCAGATATCAGAAATGCACAAAATTCTGTAATACCATTATTCGTATTGATATACAATTTTGCAATTATATAAGTATATTGTAATATGTAGCACTTAAGCTGAATTCAAATTATATATATACCGTATAAATGCAATTTTGAAGTAAAAAATTATATATGTAATAACAATTAAACAATTATCGTTTAGTTTTAGCCTAATCCGTTTAATGCAATCATAATTCATTTTTTAATTTATAATATATCATAATTCATATGATCTTAAAATCACAATTGTTTCGATATTTATTAATAAACTATTTAATTTATAAATTGTAGTAATTGCTGAATTGTGATAGCAGTACAGTATTACTGCATTTTTAAAATCACGGATACATTTAAAAATTATGTTTTATACACAACTGATAAGAATAAAAAATTTACTTAAAAAATTATTTTGATATATAAAAGAGTGATATTTTTAGAGTGAAAGTGTTGTAAGAAGAGAGAGAGAGAGATAGATAATCAAATTATAAGTTAATATATATTTCTAATTTATCAAAAATTAAAATATACCAAAATTTAACATCATATATTTAATATCATATTATTAAGAAACTCACCAACTTATACCAGCAACTAATATAAGATAAATTGTATATATAAATATGTTATATAAATAATTTTATTACAGTTATCCTTTCTTGATTTTCAAAATAGCCGATATGATATAATTGTATATATGTACTGTTATTTTAAAGTTAAGGTATATCTTTATCAATTTATTTTCTTTTGCGATTTCTCTCTTTATTCACAATACATCACATTTTATCTCTTCAAATATCAAAAAAAAAAAACCACATACAATAATAATTGGTTGTTGGACCAAAAATATAAAAAAAAAACAAAAAAAAATAAAACAAATATTCCCTGACTTCGAAATTGCAATAATATGATATTAATACACAATTCAGCTTAAGAATTGTAATTGCTGAATTGTGTATTAATGCCATATTAAACAATTTTGAAGTTGATTTCTTTTGTGGATTTGATCATCTCAATAATTAAAATTATAATTGAACTGCCAAATCAAACAAAAAATAAACAAAGTTTATATTTTATTCAATATGAAAACCTAATTTTAACGCGCTTGAAAAAAAAAATTAAAAAAATATTAACAAAAAAAAAAAAAAAGAAATTTTATAAATTTATTATATAATTTTTTTATTAAACTTATTATATTTATATATACATATATATATATATACATATATTATATATATATATATATTATTCAAAAAACAAGTTAGAAAAAAATATTAAAAAAATTAATTAAAAAAAGTTGAATTTAAAATTATAAAATGAAAAACAAAAATATTTAAATGTTCGTGAATAATATTAAAAAAAATTCAAAATTTTTAGCTTTAAGAGTTAAAAAATGATCGAAAGAAATGAAAATTTCTAAGGATTCCTATACATACATATTTCTTATCTTATATACAAATACATATTATATAACTTTATATTTAATTTACCCTAAAATACGCGTATAAATCATGTAAAATGTGCCATACATTTCTATTTATTTGACTATTAATATTTTACAGACTTGCTCTTACGAATTCTACGAAACACTATGTATTTAATACCTCGTAGGATTCTCTATATGTCCTACATTACATATAAAAATTTAACGAAACACAATATAATACTATCATTGAAAATTCTAACAATAGGAAAAAAAATAATTTTTTAAATTACTCTTAAAAAACAATTACTCTTTTATTGTGATCAATTTTCTTTAAGAACCTATACATTCTTTGTTTGCAGTTGTCAAATTTTTGTGTAGTTTGAAGTGCTGTTGCTGCACTTCAAATTGCAGTGATTGTTATCGTATATTATACTGTTAATTTTATTAATTTAATAAAATTAACAGCAGCAGATAACTTTTACCTTTTTAACATTGTTCAAATAAGTAAAGATAAATTTAGAACTGAATTTTTAAATTTAGGAGACTTATACTATAACCAATAAATTTTCACGATTGATAATAAAATTTTAATCCTATGAATTAATTTGTACTGCTATTGTTATTATTTTTATTAATATTTTTGAGTTCAAAATTGCAGCAATAGCAATATAAATGCAGAATTCAGCTCATACTGGTTGTAATTGCTGAAGTATGTAATTAATATATACCCCATATTACTGCAACTTTGAAGTCAGGGTATTACATTTTCACTTATAGTACATGGCACATTATTTATAAGCCAATAAATATTATAAAAACATATATATATATAAATAAATGTTGGTAAAGTTACAAAATAAAGTATTTGAATCTCGAACTGTTTCAGAAATCTGTTAAAATTATATATAGAAAAATTAATGTTATATACATATATACACGCAATTATAACTTTATACTCATAAAATATATAAAAAATACATTATGTAAGTATAAATATAATAAAAGTAATAAAAAAAAAACAATAAATGTCAAATATGTGAAACTAACTTATGTTTTATTTTATTTTGCAGTCCTTACATATAAACCTTGTTTATTAACACAAAATTGTGTTAATAAAAGTGGTAAATTTGTGACATTTCGGGCTACAAGATTTTAGCAAAATAATACTGAATATTGCTTCTCCTTCCATATTCTTTGAAAGCTCAATAAGCACTAAATTTTCTAACAGAACGACAATGTAGTAAAAAGTTAGCACTAAATTTTCCAATTCGTACCGTTACTGCATAGTTTATACAGTAGTAATAGTAATAAATTATAGAGAAGTTATAATTTTTAATTACTGGTTGCTGTAGTGTGTCGCTGTAATTATAATGGATAAGTTCCGCCAACTTAAACCCTTTAATAAATTGCAGCGCTTATTTGATTAACACTTTATTTTTGCTTTAAAAAAATATGACATTTGATATAATGATAGCTTTCAGTATTATATTTCATTATTTTTAAATTTTTAAAAAGACAAACAGAATAAAGAATGATGATGGTAAGTTATAAAAAGTAATTGGGTTTTATAATAATATAAATTATAATTTAAATAAAATGTATTTGTAAAATGTTAACAATTATAAAGCGCCAACGTTAATCGGCCCACCGTTCAGATGATTGTTAGCAAAAGAATCACTACTAGATGAGTGGGCAAACGAAATAAGAGAGAATGCATAAGAAGGTAGTGAATTTATTGATAAATTTTTGATGGCGAGGGGGGCATTCGATGTATGTTACTGTATATACGAATAATTTCATGGTTCCGGAGAGTTTCCGAAGACTTTCGTCACTATAATTAAAGACTTTGATGCCTAAGAAATTTTTTCGAATGTTTTTATAAATCTTTCACTGATTTTTGTAATGATAGCAAATTGTAAATTCATTTGTACATACATAAATTTTTTTTTTTCCTTATTCACTCCTAGAAGGAGCATAGGGCTAGTGCATGATTTCTCATGCACTAGTTTCATAGCGTCATAGAGTTTAACTAGGTAGGTGACTAGCCTGCCGTAGTAATAAATACATATATAATTATATCAATTATATTGATATAATAATAATAACATACATAAATACATATATCAATTATATTGGATTATTTTATCTACAAAATTTTAGATGGCGCTCAGAACGTATAAAAGAAATTTTTCTGCTTGTATTGTTTATAACTACTGGGAGCTGGAGTAATGAAAAATGTGGAAATGCTATTTTAAAAAGTATTTCAATTTGCATAACTTCAGGAGGCAAAAAAATTTAAATTTTATAAAATATGATTAATTTAATAATAATAATGATTAAATAATAATAGGGTTATTGCCGGGAATTAGTTGAACCGGCATTACGTACGTGCTACTTTTAATAATCCCGATCGTACTATAGAACATAGAATATTTAATAAGTGGTTTATCAGAAGGAACATTTGCAGAAATGTAGTGAACTAGATGTAAATTCAAGTAGAAAAAGTGGTGAAAGCGAGAGTGTTGGTGGTGTAGGTGATGGTGGTTATTGTGGCATTAAGTATTCATAGACGTGAAAGTGATGGAACATATGATCCTTTAGCATTTTTACAAAATCAAGCACAATCAGAACAAATTCGATCACTTTGTCTACAACAATATCCAGAATTTTTGAGTGCTGTTTTCTAATAGCAACTGGTAAGAAATTTCTATAACGTAATGTTTTAATTAAAGGTTATAAATGCAAACGCAAACTGCATTTTTTAAAATACCCAAAATTTCTAATGAAAATTTCAAACTTTGTAAAATTTAATTTTACATACGCGGCATAAATTTTCAACAGCGCTTTCAGCCACCTACTAAAGCTCCAAAAAGTTTGGCATTAACATACATTAATATATCGAGTAAATCGGAATCATCATGTACATAATTATAAAACATAGTGTTTTGCAAGTTTTTCTGACTTTAAGATTGAAGTTAAATTGTGAGATCCCGCATAAGTCAGAGCATGTGACCACCATTTGAATATAAAAATTTTAAAAGGTTTTCAAATTAATTTTTCCGATTATTATTATTAAAATAAAACTGTATTAGGTTTTTCTTAAAAATTTTCAATAATTTTTTGATTTTGCGGAACCGACTATTAAGCATGCATTTTCAAACTGATATATTAAGAGTTTCTAAGCCATAAATTTTTTTGGTATTAGGAGATAAAAAACATTAATTGATCTTTTCCAAAATCAATTAAATTTGTCAATAAGATTGGAAAATGAAGCAAAATAACGAAAACACAGACACCCGCTTACACACATATTTTTATTGCATAAAGCAATCGTTATAGAACAAGAAAAAAAAATTCAACAATAGTATATAGTATATAACAACTTGTAACCCCTTTGTAAAGTGCTAGTGCTTTTATTTTATTTTTATTTCTTTTATATTGCTAACATTATTTAATACGGTCTCATGAGATTTATAAAACGGAATGCAATATATTTTTGAATGGTT